TTTGTCATTTATGTAATAAACATAATTTAGATTAAACCCTTGAGCAAGGTTAGGGATCAACTGATAAATATTCTGCATAACAATTCACATACCATGGTCAACTCCAAACCGCCACCAAGAGCAAGGCCTTGAATGGCAGCAACTGAAGGCTTTTTGCCCGCTGCACATATAAATAGCTCTATAGTCAGATCCAGGCATAATAATCTTGGTAAGAACTAAACACATATACACAAAGGATGCCAGCGCTCATGTTGGTGATATAAGAGGGAGTGAGAAACTATGACAAAAATAGGAAGTAGAGATGGCCAACCTTCCATCAAATTCGACACAAGCTCAACAGATACATCAGGCATAAGAGATACATTTCCTGCAAGCCAATGTCATGTTTGTAATGAAAGTGAGCAATATGCTATAAGAAGCAAGCTCGGAGCAAAACATTAATCACATGTACATATGACAGGACCATTTACCAGTCTTGTGAACTTCTGTGAACACATTGATATCAAAGCCTCCACAAAATTTGCCTCCAGCACCTAGTAAGGATTGAACATAATTTAGGAGGAAAGCAACAGGTATGACAAACAAATAAAGTAGCAACTTTCACAAACTAAAATTTATTACAATCCCCTTTCTTACTCTTGCGTTCCTAAAATGCACAACGGCACATTTCAACCAAAAGTTTGGTGGGCATGTACAACTTGAATTCAGGACAAGCCATTCCCTACCCTTTAATAGCAAAGACCGTTTGAAGAAAAAAATATCTCCTAGGGGACCTGTACAGAACTAAGTGGGTTCCTTCTGATCTATAACTTGCCAAGGGTTATATATAACTTGCCATTGCTGCAGTTTCTACTTTGGTGAGGTTACCGGATTAGCATCCAACATTCATCATTTACAGTTCAGCAGCTCCACTAGAGTTCCAGACCACCAGGAAAGCAAATCTTGTACAGCTGGAGCAGCACACTCATTAACCCAGTTGACCAAGATCAGCTCAAATGATAGGATAGGGACTACTCCACAACCACTCAGAACAACAGACCAAAGATAGCTTGATCCAGTTAAACCATACACATCTAACAAAATCACGAGCAAGACAACAAAACAAATCGCCGCTCGTATTACGTCAACCCGTACACACAGCAATCGATCAGTAAAGTAAAAAAATCAGCAGAGATTCGACGACCGCCACACCAGAAAAATCAGATATTTCAGTTGTTGTATACAGGTGGTTAATTCTCTGATAAATTTTTCGCAGGAAGGTGGGTGGGGGTGAAACGATTAGCAGGAGGCCTCACCGGTGAGCACGATGGCCTTGACGTCGTCGCGATCCATCGCCTCCGCGTACTTCTCCTTCAATCCCTGGATGACTGCAGGGAGCAGCAAAAACCCCCAATCGGAGCACACGGAATCAGAAACAAAACGAGTAAACCAAAAAAAAAAAGAAGAAGAAATCGAAATTAAGAAACGAGGAGGCCTACTGATGGGATGCAGCGCATTGACGGGCGGGTTGCAGATGGTGACGACCGCGACGCCGTCGGCGCCCACCTCCATGGTGACGCGGATCGCCCCCGCCATGGATGACCTAGGGTTCTTCGTTCGTTCGATCTCGAGAGAGAGAGGGAGAGGGGGAGAAGAGGAGATGGATGGAAGGTGGAGGAAGTAATCTCTCGGAGTCGGGAGGGGGAGCGTGGGGAGGCAGGAGTTGGGGTATTTATCCGGGAGGCTCTGAAAGAGGAAGACGAAATAGGCTAGTTAGTAGTAGTAGAAGCGGCTGATTGGGAAGAAGTTGATGTCTCTGAGAGGAAGAGTCCAAATACCCAGTAGCAACTACTAGGACCACGTGTTATGTATTTTAAGCCCTAATCTTTTATTATTATTCACGTCATCAATGATGTTTATCACGATTTTCACTACTAATATTGTACTCATAATAATTAGGGGTAGTGACCAACTATCGTACCAATAAAACCGAGCCTTATCATTTATTATGCAGGTATAATATGTACTTATATCTTATAATATTTTGTCATCTTTTTTATTCGAATGTTTTTGTTGAAGTGTCATGATGAAACAAGTCCCTAATGTAAAAAAACATAGAAAATAATGTAGATCATTTTAACATATTGTTATCCTATATTACTATAAAATTGATGTTAACTAAATCTCACCATGTAAATGTGTCATATCATCACTCACTACAAATTATGTAAATATCAATATGTTAATATCATGCCAATATAACTTTTTTTTATTTTTAGAACTCAATATACAAACAATGTAAATCATTATCTCCACATTGTTTAAATATATGTATCTATCATTTCTATAATTTATAACGTTCGTTCATCTACATATCCCATAGTAAAAGCACGGGATATCAACTGGGGTGATGAAGTGTTTTGTTGTACTCCCTTGATCCCTTCAATCTTTTCTATGACGTTGGTTAGCTCAAACGAGCAATATATAAGGAAATGAAGGCGTATTTTGTTTATTTAGTTGATCGTGAAGACTGTTAGCTAAAAACGGTATTTAATCAAGCCAATCCGACCTAGCTAATCACCCGAATAATGCATGTGACTCTCCCTATCCAACCAAAATGGCCTTTAACCATCGGAGAAACATTTAGGAAGATTAAAAAAATGACCCTATTGCCAACTCTCCTCATATGCTTAGCGTATGCAATGACGCAAGACGCGCGTAATTAGACACCACCCTTCAATTCTCACTATTTAACCAGGTACAGCAAAGAAAAAACTTTTTAACTCCAGCATCACAGTACCCATTTTTTTTCTCCTCGATTTAACACAATATATGCATAGTACTGTTCCGGAAAAGACGACTTTTGCTCCATACGGCAATAATTCAACGGAATTGTGGAAAAAATACAGAGAATTTCTTTTTTAAAAAAAGAAAAAAAAATACTAGCAGGTACTTCCTCCGTTCTATAAAAAAACAAAGTAAGTATTGGATGCGACACATCATAATACTATTAATTTGGATCTATCTCTGTTCAGATTTATTGTACTAGAATATATAACATTTATTCTATATTCGTTTTTCGTGGGACAGAGACACTATGTGCGGTCAGACAGTCAGACTACCACGCAAGCAAAAGCAAGTAACAAAAACGATAAGATGAGATGAGAAGCGAGAGCTCCCGTGTTTTGTTTCGTCCGGAAACTCGAACGAGCCGTCACAGGCACGCTTCCTCCAATGCGATCTCTTCTACTACTACGACCTATCCCCCGCCGTCCAAAGTGGATCGGACGGCCCATGTTCGACGCAGGCCGAGCCAAATACGTACCACGCGGTGGTGTTGCGTACGGGGCACCGCTATATATGTCTCCTCGTATACGTCGTGGCGGTAGCGGTGCAGCCCTGGCCGTCGGATCGGAGCCCCCGGACGGCCGCGATTTTATCGACATAGGTACATAAATGAACATGAAATATCTTGGTTGTCGGATGAGTATATTTGATTAGGAGTGTGACGTGGACTGGTTGTGTTGCTGAACCGTCGGAAGTCTCAATCCACGAAGATGACATTTTTCGTGTCTTTCTGACAGCAACCTTGAGGGGATCACTTGTACAAATTTTCTTCCAAAAAATTATAATTATAGTATAATCATGATATAATTATATTGTACGTAACTTTTAAAAATCTCTCCGTAAAACGCTATTTCCGTGAAAACGAATCCTCTCACATGTGTGCGCGTTGTGACTTTTTTCTTTCTTCACTTGCAAAAAATTTTGAAACAAATATAATATTTCAAAATTATGTGAAAGTTACGTACAAGTTACATATAAGTTATAGTGTAATTATATCACGATTGTATTGTAATTATATATGTCAAATTTTTAAGAGAAAATTTATCGCTATATATATAGCAAAATTGTATGTTAATCATGTCTACAATTACCGAATTAAAAACAGCCAGGCTAGTCCTATAAGATACACAAACAAATCGCTTTCCAGTCATATAATCAGTCAGGAATACAATATGCTCAACCCGACAAGCCAATTAAGCGATCCAACTCCTACCGTACCCTACATAAGGGGGGTGTTTAGATGAGAGGCGTAAAGTTTTAGTGTGTCACATCGAATATTATATAGGGTATCGTATGAGGTATTTTTTATAATGGATTAAACCGGCCTCTACACCCAAAAAAGGATGTATTTGGGCACTAATAAAAAAACTAATTACATAATCTGTCGGTAATCCGCGAGACGAATTTATTAAGCTTAATTAATTCGTCATTAGCAAATATTTACTGTAGCAACATATTGTCAAATCATTGAGCAATTAGGCTTAAAAGATTCGTCTAGCAAATTAGTCGCAATATGTATAATTAGTTTTTTTTTGTCTATATTTAATACTTTATGCAAATATTAAACGTTCGATGTGACAGGATAAAAAATTTTAAGGTGGAATCTAAATAGGGCGGAAAATGGTTCGACTTCGGGGTTCAGACCTGTCCATGAACTGCCTGAGTGACAGACTCACAGATGTTGAACACAACAGGAACTTCTGACAAGATGTTAATTTCTCGTCACACCCTAATTTGTGTGCTTGACTACAAATCTACAATAAAGACTGTTTTTTTTCTAATCTAAAGACTGCACGTTTTTGTGACAAACATGCTGGGTCCAAAAAAAAAAAAGAAGATTAGAAAAGAACATCATAGCAACTTCCTTCAAAAAAGGACGAGACGAGACCAACAAGCAAGTCGAGTCTTCGTCAAGTCTGAGGAATTCATATGGGAAGTTGTCATAAAACCCCAGAGAAGTTGTCATGAAACCCCGGCGAAACCACGCACTCCGCCCACATGTGTGCTTTCAGATCATCACATGGCGCACGCCATGGTCCAGGCAGTCATGTTGAGGGCTTTCAGATTCCAAAAGTTTTCAGACTCCATCTGAGAAATTCAGTGTGAAATCCGTCCACTGACTAGCATATTTCCAACATTTGAGTTATTTTAACTTTACCAAGGGAAAACAGCCGTCCAAAAGGGTCAATTTGCGATTCAACATTCCAAAAAGCATTCCAATTTCAACACCTGCAATAATACGGTCCATTTGGATGTACCACAGCACTGAACTCACATTTCCAGTAGCTGTGTCCAGTGCATCTGAGCTTCCTCTCGGTGAGGTCAAGCCATGATTTACTACGGGTAATGTGAACGAAATAAACATGCACGGCAGGAATTCTTGTAGAGTTTTACAGATCAACAGATAGGGTAGTGCTAACAAGTTAAACAATTATTGTTGGAACATATCATTGTTTGCATCATATCCAGCGCGTTGCCTTCGAGCAATCAGGTTTTTCTCAAACTCCTTCAGGTAATCTAGGAGCAACACACAAGTGAAGAGAAGGAATCCACCGAAGTAGTTGCTGCCACCTCCACCACCTCCGCCGCCACCACCACCTTTGCCGAAACGGAATGGAGGAAAACCACCGCTCCCATCATCCAATTTTGGCCCCTGAGTTTTTCCTGAAAGTCACAGGACAGAAAGTGAAATTAAGCGATTGCGTTCCTGCCACCTATAGAATAAAATTCAATTAGAGGCAGATCTACCTTTGGGGTCAGATCGTTTGACGGTTGCAGTTGAAGATTTCCGCTGAGCACTTTGGGTCTGAGTGGCATTGCATCTTACGCTCTGTTGTCAATAGCGTTCGCACAAAAAAGCAGTCAATGAGAAGATCTGACAGTGAAGTATGCAGATAAGCAAGCTAGCATTTTCCCTTTCATCAGTTTTGAAGTTCAGTAACTGGAGGTAAAGCATCATGAATAATTCAGAACATATATTAATCATTGAGATTGACCATGTACCAGGGATAATATTGCTTCTTTTAGTACTACTATTAAGAAAAAACTGCATCTATACCACCAGAGTTTCAGTGATCCCAATAAATAACATCAGAACATTACATCCCCTGTCATGCTTTGTTCCTATTTCGGTTTTGACCCCTTTTTTTTACCACGCAGAATGACTGCAATACCCACTGCTTGCTGTCTTCATCATGGAGGTGACACTACTTGGCTTGGCTGCTCAATCTACCGTGCTAAGAGGGAAGCAAGAAACCAGGAAAAGCATGTTCTTATGATCTTGATCTCATTAGGCTCCACCTAGGACCTGTGTCAACATCTGAGGCCACCTGGCAGTGCAGTCCTCAGCCTGGTTGTATGCATCCACAGCCAATGCTCTCAGCCCAGCCACACTGCTCACACTGACCCTCATGGTGAGGCCGCTCAGAGGTGGGGGTCTCGGCCAGGCTGCAGACGCTCTGATGCCTTGACCGCCCACGTCTCTTTGCTCCATTAACTTGTTGCCCACCTCCAGCGACACTAATGATGCCGCCGGCCACTACTACTGGCTGCTGGAGAGATGTGAGATTTGGTAGTGCAACAATTTAATATTCACGTAAGGACAAAATCAATAAATCACCCTTATCTAACACCGTTGCCTTCAAATGTAACAGAAGAGGTATTTCGAATTTTTAGACCAACTTGCTGGTATATATTAGAGGTGAAATACTGAAATGTTTTGTTGATACCATCAAAATTGTAGTGGTACTGATGCAGTTTTATCTACTAATTAACAATTCAAAGCACCTTATCTTTAAATGTATGCAGCATGCACATGCCATGGCCCATGAGATATGCACCTATTGAGCACTACGATTAGTACTAGCTAGGAAGGGTATAACCAATAAACCAATCAAGTATGGTAAAATCCTTATCTACTGTATTTTGAACTAAACCATTTTAACATGAATATTTCATAGTTCATACTCCTCAGTCCCAAAATATAGCAACTAGGACAGAATTGGACATATCCTAGTACTACGAATTTGGACAGGGGTGTCCAATCTGGTCCTAAGTTGTCATATTTTGGGTCGGAGGGAGTAACAGTAACTCCTAATTCAATTTTTCTATAGAATCTATATATAATCATATATAATAAAAAGAGGGTGATACATGCCAATTTGGTTATTGATCAAATGCCTTATTGTCATGAACTCACAATAAGCTAACCAAACAGAAAATAGTAAATTTGTTTGCAGGAATTGAACACTTAATTTTGTTTATAGGAAGATTGAGGTAGATATGAATCTATGATATATTCCAACTTACTCTTAATACTGCTTTAGCAGACACTTCCCTTTTAAATGAGATGCAGCTAGCTTGAGATGTCTGAAATTGTGAACCTGCCCAGAGAAGGTATAATGAAAAATTAGTACATAATGAAACATTGTTTGGCAAAAGAGGATCAACAAGATCACAAGGTGCCTGATCAGGAGACTAAGGGCCTGTTTGGTACAGCTCCAACTCCTAAATATTACTCCAGGAGTTGAGTCTAGAGTGGAGTTGTGGAGCTGCCTAAACCCAGCTCCACAACTCTAGTACATTTTGTGAGAGAGCTCCACCCAACTCCACTCCCAGTATTAGTGGAGCTGAAACTGTTTGGCTGAGCTCCAGCTCCAGGAGGGGTGGAGCTGGAGCTAGAGCTGTGCCAAACAGGCCCTAATGATGTGATTTCGACCCATAATTCCCAAACCACGTGTTATGTGAACTTATGATTTGGAAAATGAAACAGTTTACCAATTTCCCTAAAGAACCCTCTTAACATAAACTCAAGGGTGCTCTAAAAAAAAGGAGCAAAAGGATCAGGCAGACAGGTTTCGGGCTACTTGTCATATTTGTATACTATATTGCATAGTCCAAATGGATGCTTACATACCTACATTTTCTTAGTGCACTATTAGGACATCAAAATTGAGAGCAAGTCAACAAACACAGATGAATTTAAGAAGTAATGAGGTATTACATATTCTCAATCCGTGGAATTTTTTTAACTGTCACGATGCAAAGAGAAGAGGGCCAAAGACACTTAACAACGAGTAAGGGAGAGACAAACATTGTGAAATCATGAAACAATGTTGAGGACAGCAATTCATGAATTACTCTATAAAGCAAACAAATATAAATGTTAAAGCCAATTATTTACCTCCAAATCTCCTGGTTGATGCATGAGTGGTTACAGCCCCTGGCAGTGAGCACGTGACAAGTGTTGACATGGAGGACACTTTTAAGATCTACAATCAAGCAACATAACATTGTCACATATGAAAAGAAATGAAATGCCATGCCAAATGATTGCAAAATGAAATAACTATTTACTACAGAGTGCATAAATACATGGCATCTCAAACCTGATTTGACTGCTTGAGAAACAACACAGTATGCTCAGGGATAATGTTATCATGCATATAAAAATAATACTTCCTCCGTTTCATATTATAAGACTTTCTAGCATTACCCACATTCATATAGATGTTAATGAATCTAGACACATCATTAACATCTATATGAACGTGGGTAATGCTGGAAAGTCTTATAATATGGAACGGAGGGATTAAGTCACAACACAGGTTTGAAAAGTATGATACTTGTCATACAACTCCGATATCACCATAGTGCTTTTAAAAGTGTAGTCGAGATCCCACCCCATATGCTCAACACCTCAATCGTCCCGACACCCATTAGTTTTAAACAATTGGGCAGCTAACAATCATCAAGATGATGGATTTTATCCAACAGATAGTGTTACCCCCATAAGTAAAAAACAAAAAAAAATCTATAACAGTAACCATGATCCCCAATTTTTAACAATGCTAACCACTGCCGTCAACACGATCCTGTTTTTGCAGGGTTCTACAGGGAGCACGGTTCAGGAAAATTTCCCAATAACCAAAAAAAAATGATCATGAAGGGGATTAGCATGATCTTTGTACAGGTTACCTCCCAAAAACAAAGAACCGCTGCGGCAGATTAAACCCTATTCTCCAAACTAAAATCACAAATTATTCCCCCCCCCCCCAACTAAGTATCGAAACCACGTCTTTATCAAACTCTCCAACAGGCAGGATGACATGCCCACGGGATGAAATCATGAAATCTCTAATAACCCTTGACCCCCTCACTCACCTAGGAACCAACCAACCACGCGACGATTCGGCGGCCACCTTTCCGCGCCTCGCCCCCCACAAGATCGCGTTGGGGATCGGATCGGCCGGCCTGGGGTGGCGCGAGGGTGGATCCTGCTGCTGAGGGCGCCGCCGCCGCCTGGGAGGAAAGGGAGGAGAGGAGGAAGGCGATGGGAGAGAGGAGGAAAGCCTCGTCGTAGGCGGCGGCGAAGGAGGAGGCGTGCCGTGCGTCTCGCGGGGAAGAAGAAGAAGGGGAAAAATTATGCAGTCCTTCACCGATCTGTGGGACCCCTCTCCTCTGGCGGACACGTGGCGGAACTAGAGAGAATTCAATATTCAATCCTACTGTAATGGTGAAACAAAATGGTGAAACGGGATGAGGTTTTTCAGATATACTGGGAACGAGAAAAAAACAATTATATAATAAATAACATAAAAATCCATATTGTTCCATAAACGATTGGCTGCGTTCTAGAAAATATTCCTCGTTTTTCATATACACGAAACGGTTAAACGGTGTGTTTTTATTAAAAAAAGTCTATAAAAAAATTGATTAAAAAATTATACTAATCTGTTTTCCAACTGACAACCTCAATATTTTTTTTCTCCTTCTCATATATACCCTTAATACTACTACGTCCGTTCCAAATTAGTAGTCGCTTTGACCTTTTTTTAAACATTTGACCATTCGTTTTATTTTAAAAATTTTTGCAAATATAAAAGGATAAGTCATACTTACTTTTGATAATAAAGTAAATCACAAACAAAATAAATAATAATTCCATATTTTTTTTAATAAGACGAATGATCAAAAGTTATAGACAAAAACTCAAAGAGACAAGTATTTTGAGACGGAGGTAGTACTACATAGATAAGTCCTCCCAACTAGGGGTGCAGGTGGGTTTGTCCGCGAACCCGCTTATAGGCAAAATTAGTACATAACCCATAGGTTTGACCAGCGGGTTACCTATTAATTTGATCTATAAATAGATTTATGGATCGACCCACTTACATATCTAGATACAGCAAACCAGACCACGACGCGAAAACCCATGAATTATCATTTATTTGACCTATGAGTGAACTTGCTGGTCGGCCCGCTTGCATCCCTACTCCCAACATGTAAACGTGAGGGTAAAAAGTCACGCCAGGAAAAAAAAGGGAAATGCAGAGAGTTCCGAACTCCTTAGGGGCTGTTTGGATCGGAGACTAAAATTTTAAGTCCATGTCACATCGGATGTTTGGATACTAATTAGAAGTATTAAATATAGACTAATGATAAAAACCCATTCCATAACTCTGGACTAATTCACGAGAATCTAATGTGCCTAATTAATCCATAATTAGCCACTGTAATGCTACAATAAACATGTGCTAATTATGAATTAATTAGGTTTAAAAAATTTGTCTTGCGAATTAGTTTATACAGTTAGTTTTATAATTAATTTATAATACTCTAAATTAGCGTCCAAATATTCGATGGATCCAAACACCACCTTAATGAATCACAATGAGAAAAATAGTATAAGTAGATCGAAAGAAGAAAATGAAGAAGAATAGAAACGGCTAGATCCGGGCGGCCTGTTTGGAGGTTGGGGGCGAGTGGATCTAATAAGGCGACGAAGCTCTGGGACTCATCTCCAGGCTCCAGCTATATAGGTCTTCGGGGGCGAGAACGGCACTCATCTCCCGGAAGCTACTGCCGCACAAGCACAGCCTACTCGCCCGCCCGCCGGAGCATGCGGAAGGATGTTGACGACCGGCTGCGTTGGTTCGAGAATGAGCACGCATCAAAACTAGCCAAATACTCCCTCTCCAAAATAAGTGCAGCCTTGAGTTTCCGTGTATAAATTTGACCGTCCGTCTTATTTGAATTTTTTTTTATGATTACTCCCTCCGGTCTTGAATTTGTTATGTTTTGGAGCTGGGTTGTTTCGCTTCAAAAGCTTGACGTTTTGGCCTCCCCACGCTCACTTTAGACTAGTATACCCCTACGCATGCTTACAAACCGCATTAATAGATGTTGATGCATTGTAATTAATATGGGTAAAACAAAAAATAAATACCTTAATTAATCACTTATTTGTATCTGAAATCATGTCCAAAACATCAACAAATAGAGTACCGAGGGAGTAGTATTTTTATTGTTATTATATTATAAAACATGAATAGTACTTGATGTGTGACTTATGTTTTTTAGATTTTTCAAAAATAATTCAAATAAGACGAACGGTCAAAGTTCGACACGGAACTCATGGCTGCGCTTATTTTGGGACGGAGGTAGTATTAGGTTTTTTAGGATGGAACCAACCAACCTAAATTAATATCCTAAATTAAACTCATGGCTACCCAATATTTTTCACCCTGTCACATCAAACGTTAGAACACCTGTATGAAAGTATTAAATATAGGCTAAAAAATAACTAATTGCACAGATGGCGACTAATTTGCGAGGCGAATTTTTTAAGCCTAATTGCTCCATGATTTAACAATGTGGTGCTACAATAAACATTTGCTAATGACGGATTAACTATGCTTAATAAATTCATCTCACTATTTACTGACGGATTTTGTAATTAGTTTTTTATTAATACCTGAATACCCCCATGCGACACCCTATATAATCTAATGTGACACACTAAAACTTTACACCCTTAGATCTAAATACCCCTTAATTATTCTTCTAGTATGTGTATTCATAGCGATAAGCGTGCACGTGTTATGAGCGTCTACGTTTGTATTGTGGTACTAAAAAAATCATAATACTAACATGTTATGTACGGGAAACTCTCACCAATAATTTTCTAGTGTGTCCATAACGCACTAATTTTCTAACCTTAAATCATCCTGGCCGTTCTCACCGTGGGACGGCTTGAGCCCACAATGCAGTTGTCCTCGGCGGCCACCACTTACCTATCTTCGACAAGCAGTGCTATTTACACTGGGACCAAACTGTATATGTAATTTTAATATAATTATAAATTTTGATGTCATATTTACTTTATGAAAAAAAAATCCCGATGCTACAAAATATTTCTGTCTTAAAAACTTTGCACAAATCTTTTAAAAGCTACTGTTCCATCCATCCAAAATATTTAAAGCTAAACATTTTTAACTTTAATTGCTAAAAATGAAAAAAAATAAAATATATCAATAACAATAAGAATAATATCACAATTTCATTAGATTTATTATTTAACAAACTACTCTACCTGTCCCAAAATATAATATTTAAAATCTAGACAGGAATGTCAAGATTCGTAACACTAGCATATATTATCCAATTCTAAATTATTATATTTTAGTACGGAGATAGTATCATAAATTCATAATAGCTCTTTGTATTTATAGCAATTTATTTTTATAAATATTATTCGTTAAAATAACATCTCAAAGATCCTGCTAAAATAAAAAAAAATCTTATATTTTAGGATGAAGTGATAGCAGAAAATTTAAAATTTTAAACGATCAATTAATTTAAGGGAAATGGTAGTATAATTTGGAAAAATAATTTGTAAGTATAATTTGGAAACGGAGGCAAAGGGTGGACGGCTAAACCCCCAAACCCCCGAACAGCCAAACCCTTCCCCACCTTGTAACCCTCGTCCAACCTTGGTGAGAAAAAAAATGGCGGTCTCAGCCGTCGCCGCCCGATCTAGGGCCATAGCCCGCGCCGCCTCCTCCTCCCTCCTCGCCCGCGGCCTCCTCCCCACCTCCCGCCGCGCCACCTGCATCAACAGGTACCGCACGCGCGCCAACCCTCGCCGCGCTCTGAACCAATCCCCCTTTTTTCCTCACGCTGTTAGTGTTACCTGCTGCGCCTCGGGTGGGTTTCGCAGGTTGCCTTTGGTGTCCGGGGGCCTCCTCTCCACGCTGCCGCTCCACAGCGCCGTCGCGTCGGCGCGGTTACGGTCCGCGATCGCGCCCGAGTCACAGAGCTGGGGTTTAGTCCCCCAAGGTGAGGTTCTTGGTCACTGCACGTTCTAAGTGCATTAGTGTACTTTGGGCCCCTGATTTCACCATGTTTACTTCATCCAGGAACGGAATCGGTTATGGTTTGTAACTTTCCAGTTTAGTTTATTGTAATTGATGATGTTAGATGAACGTAAATGACGATTTTTTTTGTTATAAAAAATTGACCAAAATAGGCATCAGTTTTGTTGCGATTTGTTGGAAATCTCGGTCTCTTTATTCTCATGGGAGGCAGCTTGTACATCTTATAATTGCATTGTGTTTTTAGTACTCGGAAATGATATGAGCTTGTGGTTTGAAAGAAAGTCTATTGAGATTGGTCACTAGACCCGAAGCACATTGTGGTGTTATCAGGTTGCTGCTAGGGGAACTTCTATGGTTGCTCATCTGTTTGTGACCAAGGTTATTTGTACTCGATATTGTTTTGCATCCATACACAATAGGGAGCTTTATGGGCATATTGACTTTTTATGCTTTTCATATGTACTACCTCCATCCCAACTTATATGTACTACCTCCATCCTAACTTGTCCAGCTGCATAGCCAGAAATAAAGTATTTTTGATATTTTTGGGATGTAGGTAGTATGTTTTATACACTAAGCTTGGGTTGACTAGTCCAAATTCCTAAATGGCAATGACTTGAGGGTTTTGCTTAACCCCAAAGGATTCATAGTATCGTAGATGGATATTAAGTTGCAAGTTATAGATCCATTGATTGCCGAGTATATAAGCACAGTATAATAGCTTTACTGATTGGTGATTTGGTGCACGTGGGGCTTTACACATCATGGAAGTTGATGCCGTCCAGTATGTGGCTCATGCATCCAACTGATTTTTTAGAGGAAGTCACTTTGTTGCAACACTGGTGTTAATGCTGCAAGCAGGGTGCTTTCCTAACCATTCATAAGAAGATAAAGCACTTCTGATAAATCACAAGACATAGATGTAAAAACTAGTTTCATTGCTCACATATTTGGATGTCCTATGTTTATTGATAGTTATGAGTGTATACTGGTTGTTATGTTATCCCAGGTCAGGTCAACAAAATCGGTCTGTTTGCTTTTGGACAGCATTTGCTTTCCCTTGCAGGTTTGCACAAACAATAATGTGTGACACTCCCTCCTCTTCTTTTGCAGGGAACTCCATGCCTTTATGAGAGCAAAGCTTACCTTTTCCGTTGTAACTGCCTAAACAAATTGTGAATGCTTTGAATTTTCATAATGTTCATTTCGCTATCAGAACTATGAATGAGCTTACGAGAACTTATTTTTCTGTGGTAAGAATGGTTTGGTGGGTAAAAGTTTGGTTGTTTTCTGCTATACTAGCTATTTTTCTGTGATAAGAATGCTTATTTGACTTGGCTGATTTGGAATTTTGGATACATTTGTTACCAAGTGAACATATTTCTCCATCTATTGGCTCTACTTCCTGAGGTGCAGTTTCTGGTGCAATGTTCTCAATCGATCATATGGCGGCAGTTCAGTATCATTATTTCTTTTTCAGCGGCAACAATTATTGAGGCGATTAATGGGGCATCCGATTCTTGTGATCTGTCATCTTACTGTTTGGGTTGGTAATGGATTCTGATCATGAGACTGATGGATTCATGGTTTTGTTCTGTGAACTTGAGTTTCCTGAAACTATCAATTTTATTTTCTTTAGTCTTCTGGCTTGTTCTGCTCTATATTTGCATGCGAGCTAAGTGTATAATCTTGTCTAGCAGTTGTTCTATTTCCCTAGAGGGAATGGTGTACATGTCTAGAAAATAGCAATATGACAAGTTTACAACTACTTGAGTTGAGATTTTTACAACGATAATATGTGGGTTTCAAATTTTCAACTATATAGTGTATGTTCATTGGTGGTGAATTATATTTTGAAGATTTTGGTTGTTCAAAACAATATAGTAGATGACCAAATTGAGTAACAAGAAAATGTAGCCCTTTTTGGGGAGCTTCTATTGACTGCAACTTCTTCTAAAATCTTTTCCTCTGGAAATCTAGCTTTTTTAGATTATCATTAGCTGCTTCTTATAATATCGAGCTCCCCAAACATGCCCTGTATCACATGAGATGGCTGTTGCGCGAACGTTCGCGGGAAGGAGTTTGCACGAATGGACACGTGGGCTGGGCTCATTCTAGAAGAGTGCATGCAAGTCTATCTGATCTGAAAAAGTATGATGTATACATGTTCCTTTCTTTCAAGCTGGAAAAACATGCATGTTTAAGTATATAAAATAATTTTGCATGCGCATGTAGTCATAATTATAATTTCTACTTATTGAGTGATTTTATCATATAATAAAATGGTGCATTTTGTGTATAATTTTTAAAGTCCTATATTAACAAATATTTAATTGTTGTAGAAAGTTTCCTAATAGAATATTTTTCATGTATAAAGTTTATGAATATAAACATTTTCCGTAGAAAGTTTGTGAATGGATTTTTTTTAATCTTACATTTTTTATTTTTTTAATCCCATGAGTTGATTTTTTTTAATTACCGAAGAAAGTTTCCTAATAGAATTTTTTTGCCATGTAAAGTTTATGAATATAAAGAATTATTTTTGTACAAAGTTTATAAGCAGAGATTATTTTAAAAACTTTTGAATAGGCTTTAATCTGAATGGCATGTTTAAAATTTAGGATATAAATTATTGAATATAATGTGTTGCTATTAAATACTGAAAAAAATTACCACGCTAATTATGCTGGGCTTTCTACTTTTGTATGCATATGGAGCTGAAATTTCTTAATAACACCTACGTATGCTAATTTCACGGTACTAACTGATGAGTGTTAATTACACGCTAATTAGGTGACGGGATCCGTCGGATCGGAGACATTCGTGACAGGCGAATGCTTGCGAGCTAGACTCACCCCTCCTATTAAGTATCAACTTAGGCTGTGTTTAGTTCCTTTTAAAGTTAAAAGTTTATGTTGAAATTGGTACGATATAACTGAAAAGTTGTGTGTGTATGATATGTTGATGTGATGAAAAAAAGTTAGAAGTTTAGATCTAAACACAGCCTTATACATACTCCCAATTAACATTAAGAACTCGTCTGGAACATACGAATCTTACAGGAGCTTGACTTGTCCTTTTGCAGCATTTGCTACCATGAATTGCGGTAGGCTTCAAGGGAAACAGATTACTTACTTTGGAAGGTTCATTCGGCGTCTTTGGGGCCTCGTTTGTAATGTTGCAATTTTACGTGAATTTTGAAGGGAAAAAACTGTTTCCCATGAAAGTCACGTAGAATTTCTTATTAGTTCAAAAGTATGGTCTCTGAAGTTTTTCCTACGCTGGATGATAATTTGTATGAAGTAAAAAAAATAATTTGAGCAAATAGGTATGCTGTAGCGGTAGGTGAGAATGAACTAGAACTATCAAGGGCGGTCTACACAACTTATGATGGAAAATCCACCCGACATTGTACAAATACTAGATCATTAGATTTACTTTGAGATTTGTTCCATCTCCTTCTAGTCAGCCTCCCCCCCTCCCCTCTCCCCTCAAGACATCGATGTCGAGGTGCCCTGCCCCATCGTCTTCTCTGTCTGACGGCGAGGAGCCCTCGGATCCGCTACCTCTAGTTTGTTGCTTCTAAATTAGTCACTCTGATTTGCCCTTGCCACCAAAGTATACGACATAGTTGGAGGGACAAGATCTTATAAGTTGGTTCTACCCTTGTTAAACTAGTAAGGTGGTACTCCCTGCGTTTCAGACTATAAGTAGTTTTGACTTTAATTAAAATCAAACTTTTTCAAATTTAATCAAATTTGTAGAAAATAATAATAATATTTTTAATCCCAAGATAAATATATTATAAAAATATATTCAATTACAGATTTAATGAAACTAATTTGATGTTGTAAATATTACTATATTTGTCTACAAGCTTAATCAAATTTGAAGTAGCTTAATTTTGACCAAAGTCAAAACAAGTTATAATTTGAAATTGGAGGGAGTATTAAATATGAGCACACATCTCTCATAGGCCGCACATGTCAAATTCTAATTGGGTAAGGATGTCACACCCCTCTAGACCCTTAGGAAAACCCTTCTTTTCGTGCTTCCCAAACCCAAACACAAACACTAATCTATGTCCTCTTTTGTTCGTCGGCACTGGAGAAAGGGTGGAGGTCACCAAAGTTAGAGAAGGAGCACAAACACGAATCACGGTTTAGAATCTGTAAAGATTTTGTTCCTAAATTATCCGCCGAATGTCATTTAGCAAATCCGTGAATTAACTGGCACGCGTGTATATTAGTTCATGTGATAGAATTTAAATTTTAAAACTTAGAAATAAAGCTGAGAAATAAATAGGATTAGACGGTAAACCCGGCCGCTCATGCATCACAGAACCTTATCCTGTTCGCTCCTGACCTTCGTTAAAACCTCACCCGCTGCTCTCCCGCTGCGATGGCAGCGCGCCATGGCCATGGCGCCCCTCTTCGTTCCTCCTCCTCATCTCCTCTTCCTCCTCCCAGCCACCACCTCATCATCCCCCGCTGCTTCCCTCAGGCGACTCCTCCTCCCGCCGCTCTCGTGCCACGCGCGCCAGGTGCTCGACGTAATGCCCCAGGGAGACCGCGTCGCCGGCCCGAGAGCCGCCGAGGGAGCTGGCGCTAAAGGCGCGACGGCGCAGGTCGGCGTGGCCACACGGGAGGCCGGCACGGCGGGGCGGCATGGGCGGGGCCGTCATGGCGGCGGCGCGAGGCCGTGGAGGAGAGGGGAGGACAGGCCCGCGCGCGGAGGACAACATGCCGCCGACGACGGGGAGGTTCAGGGAACGAGGAGGGGTGGGGATCTCAAACAACGCAGGGAGGGCAGGCGCTGGACGAGAGGCGAAACGCAAGCGCGGGAATCTGGAAAGGCTGGAAATTCGGGGAGATGCCAGAGTAACGGTAGTGGTGGCAATGCCAGCAGGAAGGGGAAGAAGAAAGCCAAGGGTGGTGAGAACGAAGTCAAGCTGAGAGTCGAGCTGGACATGTGCTCGAAGAGGGGAGACGTGATTGGAGCCATCAACCTGTATGATTCTGCGGTGAAGGAAGGGATCAAAATGGGGCAGCATCACTACAGCGTGCTCCTTTACCTGTGTTCTTCTGCGGCGCTTGGGTTTGTGCAACCGGCGAAAAGTGGCAATGCCGGTAGTGGGATTGCTAGTATTGGGCAGTTACATTCATCGTCTACTCAAAGCGTGGGAAATTTGGAGGGAGACGATGTACAATCTGAAGGCCACTCTGAAGATCAGGAGGGAAACAAGACCGATTTGTTTGCTTCGGATGATGGGACGGAGAAACCGAGTCGAATTCCAGTGAGTGATGAGCTGAGGGAGTATGCAAGAACTCGAGGGTTTGAGATATTTGAGAAGATGCGCTCGGAGGAAGAGAAAGTTCCCATGAATGAGTCTGCTCTGACTGCAGTGGCTCGTATGGCGATGTCCATGGGCAACGGTGACATGGCCTTTGATGTTGTGAAGCAAATGAAGGATCAAGGTATTGCGCCAAAGTTGCGGTCATATGGTCCTGCTTTGACGGCATTCTGCAATAGCGGCAATGTTGAGAAAGCATTTGAGGTGGAAGCACATATGTTGGAGTCTGGTGTCAGACCTGAAGAGCCTGAGTTGGAGACACTTCTCAAGGCTAGTGTGGCCGCACAACAAGGAGACAAGGTTTATTATTTGTTGCATAAGTTCAGGACTACTGTCAGACAAGCATCTTCAACCACAGCTAAACTACTTGAGGATTGGTTTCAGAGCCCAACAGCATCTAAAGTGGGGAAGAGAAAATGGGATTCAGGTGCTATAACAAAAGCTATTGAGAACAATGGTGGGGGTTGGCATGGGTTAGGATGGTTAGGAAGGGGGAAATGGACCATATCACACTCGCACATCGACAGGAATGGTGCATGCCTTGCTTGTGGAGAAAAATTGACTATTATAGATCTTGATCCAAAAGAAACAGAAGATTTTGCCACATTGGTGGCAAAATTAGCTATCAAAAGAGAGAGGAGATCAAACTTTGATAACTTTCAGGTCATCTATCTCTGAACACCGTAAATGCTATTTTTACTAGGCTGTGCATTTACCAATACATGTCATCAATATTATGCCTTGATTAAATTACACTAAATATTTCCGTAAGTGTAGATTGAAGCCAAGGTTTACAGCATGAAAGGATACAAAATTAGATGGGTTTTCAATATTGAGTAAATTATGTATGCTCAGAATTATATCCAATTGTAAACTAAATATAAATATAACAATTCTCCATCTCATTTTGTATATTTAATGAATACTGTGCATTATTTTATTAAGCAGTGTGCAAACTAGAAAATTTCATATGCCACAATATCTTAGTTTCTCTTTATTGCAATTAATTTTTAGCCAACTTGCAGCCTCTTTGTTGGAAAAAGAATTATCATCTTTAAATCATAAATAGTTCTTACAGCGTGTGAATCATGATCAATAGAGCTTTCCAGTGGTGTGTGTAGTCCATATCCTTTCTCTTAATTAACCATTTAGCTTGACTTTTTCGCTGTATTTTTCTATATTCAGAAATGGTTGGAAAAGCATGGCCCTTTTGATGCAGTTGTGGATGGTGCCAACGTTGGCCTTTTTAGCCATAAGCATATTTCCTTGAGTAAGGCATGTATATTGTGATAAATATTTTCTTCTTCTTGTATAACATATATCTAAAATACTAGGCCTCTATCTTTTTTTAACTGGACAGATTAATATTGTTGCTGATGTTATACGGCAAAGATTTCAATCAAGAAAGCTCCCTTTGATAGTTGTGCATAACCGACATCTCACTGGAGAGCGCATGCAAAAGCCTTCTAATCGTAAGTTGGTGGAAAAGTGGAAGCTTTCTAATGCTATTTATGCAACCCCTACTGGCTCAAATGATGATTGGTAAGCTTTTCTACTTTTTAGATGCTATAGGAAGCTGTACAGCAACTGTCCCCCCTGAAGATTGAAAATTAGTTCTCCTTATTTAATGTGTCTACTATTTATGATATATCTGAATTTTCCATTTTCTCAATGTTTTGAATATTGATGTACAACTTGTCTCTGATAAACCATTGCATTAGTTGCTCCTTAGAAGGAGTTGTTTTAGTTATTTGCCTTCCACAGCTGAAGTTTTGAAAATCTTCATCTGTATATGTACAATATGTAATATTTTGGCATATAGTTCAGGTACTGGTTGTATGCTGCTATCAGATGCAAATGCTTGATGGTTACCAATGATGAAATGAGAGACCACACATTTCAGCTCTTGGAAAGAGATTTCTTCCCCAAATGGAAGGAAAGGCATCAGGTGTGGATCTGTTTTGGTGATATTTGTTTATACCTTTTAAGTAAATTTAGAAAATATGATAATGCCAAGAAGTTATCAAGGGTTGACGTGCTACATAGTTTTACCCTGAAACCTCGAGAGAAATATACTTATCTTATTTTATTTAAGATTCACTCTGCAAATATACATCTGTATGAACACTTTCAATATATCTATAGATCATTGTGTACTCGCAACAGAGCTCATTTTATGGTGTCATCTTCACTAACAGGTACGCTTCAATTTTGAGGACAGTTGTGTTACACTTCAAATGCCTCCTCCTTGCTCAGTTGTAATTCAGGTTTGAATTTAACTACTGAAGAAATATTATATTTTCGTATTGTGTAGACATACCATAGTATTTGACTGAAAAATTAAGTGAACTGGCCGTAATATCTCTAGTTCAGATTTGACCTTCAGTTGTCAAGAATTGCCTGAACTAGCCCCTATTTATGCACAAAAACGATCTTCATTGCTATTAAAGCCTTCAATCAGTTGCATGTAATTGTAGCCTTTTAAATTTTTGTTATCTGGACAGACTTCATAATTATTCCATCTGTTCTCTGTGAAACTCAGGAATCTGAGAATGGTCAGTGGCATATCCCTGTTGTCTCTGAGGAAGGTTCACTAGAGAAGGACCGGACCTGGTTATGTGTCACGCGGCGCAACTGAGAGCCAGATTACAATGAAGCTCAAGTTGATCTAGAAACACAATGTGAATAAATCACTACAACATGGTTTGACATTACTGTAGGGACAAAGTTGACCATTCTTTTCTGCTCAGGTCAGAGTCTTAATTCTCCATCCTCTTCATCTTTTTCACTGCTTATTCTGCTTAACCTTATTGTTCAGCTGGCCACATATGATGTATAGAGTTATATGAACATTACAGCTCTGTCATGTCATGTCGTGTGTTGGGAGTTAGTCCTAAATTCTTGAATCCATTTAGCGGACTACTTGTTTCTTGAAACATGTTCTAACAAGGCATTGTTTGTTCACCCGCCTATGTTTTTCTTTGGCCTAACTAACAAGAGGCTCTTCTACAGGATCAAGAACTGACCGTACCTTGTCAAGGTGCCGTTACATACCAACAATTCTTTCATGCTTGGAGTTCCTTCTTCTGTTAAACTGGCCTGTTTCAGGTGTTCAGTAGCCAGAATAGGTGAATAACACGTGCAGAAAAATAGGCCTGACTGCTCAACATTCAGCTACTATATATGGCTATACAAATATGCATTTGGTCTTCCGGTCCTTTGCGTTATATCCAATTTAATCATTCAATAAGGCATTGTGTGTACTGTTATGTGCATGAAGTTAGAACTCTGAACTTGTACCTTTTTTACACTCTACCCTGAACAAGTGAACATTGAACACCGGGTTTTGAAAACCTCCAGAGGCATTGGCGGCTCTGGGTTGTTCTCACTTGTGTTAGGATCATTTAAATTAGCACCTACAAACAATTCCTTCATGAAATTGTTAAAAAAGCAACGAACTTGAAAAAGGGAAGGGTTTATGTTGTTCTATATAAGAGCATGGGCAATAACAGAAGCCCCTAAATGGAGTGGCCTCAAGAAAAAAGATGCCACTGCCATATGTTTATTACATTTCAGCCCTTTCCACACCACACCACTAGTCACTGTGTTGTGCATGGCCGCCTAAGGTCTGAACCCATTTTGTCACAAATTCACCATCTCCATTTCATCTGTCTGAGGGCCTATTTTAAACTCCATATTGGATAGCATATTAGCAGAACGTAAAATGAAACAGTTAATTAGCGCACGATTAATTATGTATTAACCATTATAAATTTAAAAATAGACTGATTTATTTTTTATTTTATTTATTTATTTATTTATATGCAAAACAGAAAGCGTGCTGACGAGGAAGTTGTAATTTGAGTTTGAAGTTTAAAACTAAGTAAAGCAGCAGCAATTGATGCCAATCAGAATCGAGAAATTCCAGGAGGAATAAGAAATAGGGGGAAGAATTTTTGCCGCTATCTGACTCCTTCCTGAGTGAACGCCTCCGCCGCCGCCGCAACCCCGTCCCGCACGGCGGAGCCTGCAGCCGGTGGTGGAGGCCGCGCGACGAGGTTGGTGAAGTGTCGCCGCGCCTCCGCCGCCGCCGACGACGCCGGCGGCCTTGTTCTTCCTCTGGTTCTTGACGGGAAAGATGTGGGGGCGATTTAAGCCGTGGCCGTCAGGTGGGCCGAAAATCTAAGGAAATAAGTTCATTTTTAGTCCCATGACTTGGTTTCCATCTTAAACCGAAATACCAGATACAACGGTGACAACATAACACTAGTATAATGTATAATGTAGATTGCATGACGAATGATTTTGTCCGTCGTGGCAATTACGAGCAATGTTGCCGAAAGGGCGTGCCTTCATGTTACAGCATAGCATGTGTTGCTGGATTTTTCACATTTTGATTCTTTTAGAAAACTTATTATACAAATAGACCCCTAAAAAAACTTATTCTAGAAATGATCTTTTTCACAGCACCAATGTCTTGGCGCCGTGGTCCAACATGATGGCGCCAATGACGTTGGCGCTATCCTCCTAGCCCCCCGGTGAAAGTGCCAATGACGTTGGCGCCGTCCCCCTAGCCCCCCGATGAAAGTTAAGTTACAAATGTGAAAGGGGACGATGACCAATTAGCAAATAAAAAATATTTACAAATAGGTCCTTAGTGGCAATGACCCTTGTGTTGAGGACCTATTTATAATTTTTTTTACAAATGGGTCCTTATTTTATTACAAATAGGTCCTTTTTAAAAAAAATTACAAATTAGTCCTCAGCGCCAATGTCGTTGGCGCCGTCCCCCTTCACATTTGTGACCTAACTTTCACCCAGGGGTAGAGGGGATGGCGCCAACGTCATTGGCGCCGTCATGTTGGACCACGACGCCAACGATATTGGCGCCGTGAAAAGGATCATTTATTAAGTTTTTTAGGGGTTTATTTGTAGGATAAGCTTTTCAAAAGGATTAAAATGTGAAAAATCCAGCATGTGTTGCTGCTGCGATGAATTTTCTATCTGTTTCCATCTACTCCGTCTATCCAAGTACTAAATTTTTTTTCTTGGAAAAGGAGAAATTTCTCTCCCGAAATAAAAAAAATGCAAAATAAAAAAAATCTGATAAGCTAGATTCTTCTTTTTGCCCCCACAGAAAGGGCGACGCTCCGGTGCTTTCTACTCGTAGTATTATACTACGAGTAGAATTAATCCTGACCGTTTATTTTAAAGGGTAGATTAGTAATCTTCTAATACAGATTAGGGGTAATTTTGGCTGGGGCTGATTTCTGTGTCTCGGTCGCTTGATCGCATCAGGGGCCCGACGCAGGCACTGCATCTCGCATGTTACTTATCGCGGCGATGGAACCGATCCATTCCAGCGTCGGCTGCGCGTGGCCTTCCGCCGTTCCGCGTGCATCCAATCGGGGCAGCGGTGCGCAGTTCAATTCGGAGGCCACTCCGACGATGATCCCGGCCCCTCCGCGTGCGGCGGAGACTCGCTTGGATCCATTCCGGCTAGAGTTTGCTTCTGGAAAATACTGCTGTTGCTGCTACTGAATTATACTGTTGGTGACGAAAAATCCTGGCACTGCTGGTGCTTACTTGTGCAGTTGGTGACGAAAAATTGTAGTGCTTGATGTTTCATGAATTCTGCTGTTGGTGATGATGTATGTAACTAGTGTGTGCCGCAGCGAGACACCATTGCAGAGTAGCAGTTAAGCTCTTGGTATTGTGCCATTTTCGTTGCAGTTCTGCGTGTTTAAAGGTTAATGCCTGCTGCTTTTCAAATGTTACGTGGATCTATTTGTGCCATAAATGAAACAATATGATAGAAATATAAATCATCCATGTTTGAATTTTGTTTCATATAACTCTTGATTGCGCTTTGTTGATGATTTTTTTTTGACGCGAGACTCTACCTTATTACCATTTGATTAATGGTGTGTCAAGAAAGTTACATAAAGAATTTAGTTGTCCCAGAAACAGCTTGAGCACAAAAAAATCCTGTAAAGGCAACAGAGAGCAGTGTACGCAAGCTGCTAACCCATCTAGCCAGCAGTGCCATCTCCATCAACACAAACACCCCCGGAGAGTGAAAGGCACGGCCCGAGCCATTCATCGTCAGATTCAGATATTCAGTAGATCTACCTTTGACCATTCCAATCGAACACTCATATATTAGTAGTAGTTAAATTTAATAGACATGCATTTGATTCGATCGAAGACGTTTGCAACAATGATCCATCCAACTCAGGTTTTTCATGTGTGCACCGTGGGGCCTTCACGGCCTATGGCAAAAGTATCCTGCTTCACTGAGATGCTAGGCCCTGCTGCGTAGCCTCTGATGGGGAGAGACACATGCGGCAGCGGCGTCCGGCTGCACGTAGAGAGGAGCGCGCGCACGCGAGCGGCGGTGTCGTGATCATGTACGCTGTTAGGTTTAGTAACTATTAGAAGACGAGTTTACCCTCCGCACATAGTTTTTTTTTAACAAATTTGCCCACCCACGCTTCTACTACCATAAGATGAGATGGTAGTAGAAATATATCTGAACCATTCAATCAAATTAGATCAATGGTTCAGATCGTTTTCTACTATGAGTAGAAAGCACTGGAGTGAGGCTCAGCATTTTCTGGTTCATCGCACAAGTGCAGAATGGTGTAACCTGACCTGAGTTGGAAAAAAAAAAACCCACCTTGCCGTGCATCTCTCAGGAGAACACCAGAAAAGTACAAGATAATCTAGTCCTGGATTCGTGCTTAATATGCAAATATTGATATATGCACCACAGACATGGCAGAAAATGAGGATAAAAAAATGACGGGGGTAAATAAGAACGCTTTAAGGTTGCTGTAAACCTGTTATCAGACATTTATACATAAGGATATTATTGATGAAACTGCTATGATTATGACATGACTTCAGAATTTATACATAAACAACCTTGCCATGAGGCACCAGAAGCATCTCAAGGCTCAACCTACTTTCCAATTTATATCCCTACAATCCTGCCTAAACTGAAATTACATCAATAGGGTAGTATGCCTTCTTGCGTCGCACAAAAAGTGGCAATAAGGATAAGGATTATGTATTATCTTTCTGCAAAACTAGAAAAAATTATGTACTGCCAGGAAAAGTTTTTGCAGCTGCAAATGACCAGAAAATATGAATCTAGTCACTCAATCACTCATCCTTACAAGCCACCAACCTTGCCAGCTGCAGGTTTGTTCTGTTTCATCTTGGCAATGCTGACAAGATCACCAAAGAGTGAATCTTCAGGCCTGGATGCCATTGCTCCACCATGTGAATTACCTTCCTGAACCGAAACCGCATTCATCCTCTGGGTAAGCTCATTCGCGCTAACATAAGCATACGCCGCATTCGGGATGTAGTAAGCTCCAGGTTGCTGGCCAAATCCATAGCCAGCCATCTGAACAGCATACATCTGATGATGATGGCTCATGCCATAGAACTGTCCCCCAAACATCGGTTGGGAGTACATTCCAGCTCCCTGATTGACTTGCATCGAATTGGGGTACATCATCATCCCTCCGTATTGGAGATTCGGTGCGGACTGCGGTTGTGGTGATTGTCGCGGCTGTGTTCCTCCTAGCTGACCATTTGCCATTTGTTGTGGTGACATGAATGATCCTTGGCCAAACTGACCAGAATGTGGTGATTGGGGGTGCATCCCTACTGGTTGCCCTGGTTGCAGTGGCATCTGGCCAAGTTGGGTGGGTTGGGGTGGGTTGTCCATGGATTGCTGAATCTCCCATGGTGGTGGTGGAAGGCCTCCATTTTGATCATCTGCACCAGTCAACAAGAGATTGTGAAATGCCCGGATTGGGATTGGGATCCGGTGCAGTTGCTAGTGTAACTGCAACTTAAGCAGTTGCACTAGCACCACATGATAACAAATTGAGATCAGGTGCAGTTGGTACTACAACTGCACAATAAGGACTGCAAGCAATCTAGCCCATAGGGAGAGTTGGTACTACAACTGCACAATAAGGACTGCAAGCAATCTAGCCCATAGGAAGACAGTAACATGTAACAGGATATTCATAAGTTTCACAGGAAATAATAACCATTTATTCTTGTTTAATGTGAAAGATTTGTGTTGTCTTATGCTTTTATCTAAAAGAATAAAATATATTACCAATGCATTTTAAATCATATCCCCTCCCCATCTCGCGCTCGCGTGCACCCCCACAAGAAAAACAAATCAATTACATACACACAAGATATCATATCAGCAGGCCTGGGAGAGTAATGTATTACCATAGTAAGGTACGATGGCATTGGATGAAACCCCATTTGAATAAGCAACAGGATGCTGAGGCAGAGCAGGTTGCACTGGAGCAGGATATGCTTGTGATGCAGGGAAATTTGAATTTGGTGCCGATGTATTAAAAGAGTTAGTAAGGTTATTGTTGCTTCTGTTGGCATTATTTTGCTCAAACATGTCTGCAAGAGCTAGCACATTCTGATCAGCTGCTGAATATTCTGTGACAGGAACAAGTGCAAGGGAGTTTGCAGGTTCAGGTTTGATGTAATCATCTCCACTAAGAAGGTCGATAACCGGTACTGGTGCTGCAGGAGCTTTTGGACTACTGGATGATGCTGGAGCAGGAAGTGCTAAGGTAGATTGGTTGCTGGCACTTGCAGTCCCTGAAGAACTGAATATAATGGAAGACAAAAAAATGTCAGGATAACATGAACTTCTATCATGGAAAGAAAATTTTAATCCCAGGTGGTTTACTGTTGGTAGAACTACTCAGAAATATATCATCAAAATAATCCCACATTTTATTGGAACCTTCAAGAATTCATATCATATTTCTAGTAGAATATGTTGGAATGATTTGTATAAAGAAATGATTGTCAAAATCTGTAAAACCTTTGAACTGGTGCTTTTGAAGTCCCAGGATTTGCGGGTGGAGAACTATCAATTTTGGTTTGGAGAGATTTTGTTTTCTCCAACCTAACTGCAACGCCTGCAGCAATAGCATCATGTTTTGCTAGAACTCTCTGCAAATCATCATTCAAAGAAAGGCCCTGGCTGAGCAACTCCTCATTCCTGTCAAAATTCCGTATAAGAAATAAGAACCCCTCCAGCATCACACGATTTATCAGTCTTAAATATGATAAAAGTTACCACCATCAGCTAAATCTGATATTTTAAAAATAATGGTAAGAGAGATCCAAAAAACTTACGAGGTAGTGTTTACTAGCTCTACCACTCTCTGCTTGTATGAACGGCATTGATCCACCAGGTCAACAATGACCTCTTGCCTAAGCCCCTGCATATCCAATGTCAGTTCAAGAAACATAGGGAGAATCCTAATAACATATTTTGATATAAATCAGTAATTTTACAAGGATTTAAATAACTCCGGATACAATATAAATACCTCTCTGTTACTAGGATCCAAAGCATTCAACATCTCGGAAAGAACATCCATGATGCCTCGTGCATTCTGAATTTCTGCTAGGCTGGTGAAATAAAAATGATCATTACCAAATTTGTATGGAAACATATGTTTCAATTCTTTTTTGAAATGCTAAAGTTCAGTAGTATACACATCCATTGTAATAAGAAAATTTCAAAAACTGCAATACCTCAATGAAGGCAAATCTGGCACTGATGATCCAGGTGGCTCTTGCTGAGCACTGCGTAAAGATGCAGGATAGTTTTGCAGAGGTTGAGTCTGTGGAGGAGTAAATATTGGAACAGAACCATTTGATCTTTGAGGAAATACGGCCCCAGCACGCTGCCATGTGAACAAGGTTTCCAGGAATGTCACTGAATTAGTTCACGATGGTTTGATATTAAACTAGCTATAATATTATTTGGAAATAGCATGACCACACTCTCATGCTTAACAATTGTGTTACGATGCTGTTATCTTAAAAAAATGAAAATAATTCTCTTATTACCTTATTGGAGTTATACCCTTTGGGGAGAAAAAATAGCATGAAAGAAGAATCAAAGATAATTAGAATATCAGTATATTTGATATAAGTGGAACAATACCAAGAGCTCCTGATATGCTGCGTAGTATTGTGGATATCTTGCACGTACCCCGCCAAAAACTTCTTGCCAAGTGTCTATCAGAGTGAGGATCTTCTCTTTCACATGAAAATCAGGCTAAAAGCTCAAAAGAATAAGGCGTTAAAATTTAAAGAGTTTACAACTAACCAGACAATTTTAACTTTTAAGGTTTAAACTTATATACATACCCTTTTCTTGACTATTTTCACCATTTCATGAAGTATGTCTTTCTCAGCAACTTGCATATGGACAATGTCCCCACAGTTTTTGATCATCGTCTCCAGTAACTGAATCAAGCAGAGAAAGGTTGCAGTTCAGTAAAGGATTACTTAGATGTGGCTTTCCGTTTCAACTTTTCAAGCATGGTGAGGAACAGGACATTTCAAATTCAGAACACTAGAGAATTTCTGTTTTGTCTTTCCTGTTTAATCTTGAATACCAAAAAGTATGACATGACAATAAGAAGTCATTGCATGCATCAGAAGTCTCAAGAAATTACAAGACAAAAAACAAATCCTAACCAGGCCTTTTCCTGATGCCTCACTACATCAGAGCACAATTGCTGCATTTCTCTACTTATCAACCAATGCGAACTATTTTCTCATCATTCACTCCTGATTTTGGAATCTTGCGGTCACTGAAAGAAGTCTCCGGCATCCACCTAAGAATATTCCTACCAGTATCTCATAATACATTCTTACATGGAAATCTCTTCGGGCAGGAGCTGACAGTTACAAGTTAGAATACACACAGGCACACAGCCTCACACAGTTAGCAGGTTGTAAATTACTCAATTACATGCAGTACCCATACGCAAGCATTGCTAAATAAAATGTGTACAGGGTACATAACTAACAGTTGATGTATTAGATCAATACACAAAAATAGTTCCAAAAAAAGATTCAATACACAAAAAATAAACATTTCAAATTATACTCACCGTGAGAGCAAGAAGCTGGACCTTCGCATTCCTGTGTGCAATTCGTTTCTTGATAGACTTCACGACATCTTTTGCTTGCCTATGAATATAGCAGTGAAGTTTGAGAACTTCTTAGACTGAAATTTTCGTAGAACTTCACACAGAACTGGCCGCAAGACCAAAATGTTGATCAAGTTTGCATGTTATAGGAAAAGCTCGAAATTCAGAATTACAGTCACATGAAAACTTTAATTCGATCCTATTTTTACATGAAACTAACTCCAGAACTAGAAAAAAAGAGATCTTTTCAAGATCAAACTTCGATGCCCTAGTTGTAACTGATGTATAATTAGGACGTTGCTGTTTAAATTTAAAACCAACATTTCTCAACTGTCAAGGACTCAAGGTCGGCTTTCACATAGAAATCATCTGAACACATAGATTCCCAACCCAAACAGGATAATCCACAATGAAACAGAATACGTACTTTTCGATCGAAAACTCACACGAATCAATCAAAAGTCACTGAATTCAATTACGAAATATTTTGTCTCAATACCAAAACAAACATGAAGAAAATTAGCCAAACCGCCAATAAGAAAGAACAGAATTCGCTCAAGACGGAGAAAACAAAAGGTGGAACCCTCACCAAAATCAACAAAATCCGCTAACGAATGCGACGCCTCTCAACCAATACAACAGTAAAGAAAGAAAACCGCATGAACAAAATACAGAAAAAGAACGAATAATCTTTCTATTTTCCTCACCCTGGGTCTCGATTGAGGGTGTCGCAGATCTCCAGGTTCATGGCCCAGTCCGGGCCGATGAGCATGTCGTTCGTCGCGCGGTCGACCAGCACGGACGGCATCCTGCTCCCCCCCTCGCCGGAAACCAACCAACTCTCCTACCAAAAAATCCGAAACCGGAGCCGCCTGCGAACCCAAGAACACGAGAAAACCCCCAAAAAAAATCGAACCCTTTTCTTGGCCACAAAAAATGGAAAATCTCTCCTAGAGAAAAAAAAAAAGAGAGAGAGCCAAGAAACGGCGACCTTTGGCGGGCTCAAATGGCAGAGGAAATTAAGGTCGTCGAAGGGAGGAAGGATTCGCGGTTCTTGGATGGTCTCAAAGCGGCCGGCTTTCGGCGAGCACGATAATTTTTTTTTCGATGAATTCCGTGGCGCTGTTCGTCTGCTTCTGATTGTTTTTGTTTGGGTTGGTTTCATTCGTCTCTCTGCGTCTCGCTCTCCGCCCACTGCGCCCTTCTTTTTTCCTTCGATTCCTCTGTCTTTTTCTTATTTTTTTTCCATTTTCTATTTCTTTCCTTAACTGCCTGAGTGAAAAAGGGGAATTTTTAGACCAATCATGCAGATTTTATTGTAGTGCATGTTCTGTAATGTCGTCAGTGTTTTGCATAAATTATGTGTGTCCAATTGGGGTGTGATGTAGTTGAATTTTTGTCATGTCTAAATCTTGTAAGTTAGTTATTTGTGATGTAAGGTGGAGTAGAAGTTTTGTATATTATATTACGCCAGAATGGTTAAAAAAAGCATAATGTTTTATATTACATGATGCTAGCTAGGAAACATGACAGAATTTGTATCTACTAACTTATTTGTCGGTTCAATTTATATGCATTTCTAATTACTCCATAGGTCGAAACTCGTAAGTAAAACTTCCGCTGTCTCGTTATATTGACTAAAATATACAAAACTACAAACATTTGACCAAACTATCGAAAACTACAGATTTAATTATATAAATCACAGAACTACAAATTTAATATCAAATTTATTGTAAAATTATAAATTTAAGTCATTGTATAAAAAAATAGATTTAGTGAGGAAGTTATCAATGAATTACATATTTTAGATTATAGGTCCGTAGCACAATTGTTTTTTCTAAAGTTACAAAAAACTGTAGTTTTCTGATAAAATTATGCTTAATCTATAGTTTGCAATGCCTTAATTATATAGTTTCCTTGAAAAATTGGTGATAAATCATAGTTTTGTGATACATATCTTTTGCAATATATCAATCAAATTATATGCAATTTTGTGAAATTTACTAATTTATATTTGAGAAATTATAGTTCATCAGTCAGCTGGGAAATTATGGAGATGGTAAAGCTAGCTCCATTAATTGCTGAGCTAAAACTACAATTAAAGTTGGAGTACAAGAGAGGAAAAAAGAACCTATACATTGACGATTTTCTTTAGATGGATCGTATATATGCTAGGGGTTGTTAAATAGTCATCCAAAATTAAACATGCATGTGGAGATCATTCTTCAGAGAAATTCATCACCACAAAATTATTTTTATAGAATAAATCTCAGTACATAAAATCTGAAATAAAATATTTGGAGAGAAATGGAAAAGGAAAGACAGGTAGTGGAAATCTATCTATCTTCTATTATATTATATTATATACTAAAAGACCATAAAACTTCCTACAAACGCTCTCAAGCCGCCACGTGGCGCTCTAATAAAATAGAGAAAATCCTAGAAATTCTAAGAAAAAAAAGCAAAACATCTATCCCTTGATTTTCACTTAAATTGGTGGGTCCAATATTATACACCGTTAGATAAAATCGATCTTAAAACAAACTAAATACCATGGGCCCCACCTATCCTCCTCCCGCGCATTGGCAGGTGGAGTATATACGTACCTACATGGTAGTAAATACGCTTCCTTCCTTTTTTTCCTTTTTTCTTCTTTCTACCATATATATATATATATATATATATATATATATATATATATATATATATATAATGGATATATTTTTTTAAATAATCATAATTTTACAACAAAGAATCTACCATCATATAACTTAAACCGGTGTACTCTTTACTTTGCACTATTATTTTCAAATAATGCACTATTTTAAAATAAAATTTACACAATTATATCGTGTACCTATCAAATAAATAATATCTATATTAACTAATTTATACGTGCACTTAAACTGATGGCCCCATTATATAAATCATCGGATCTATTTTTTATTACATTGGCCTATTATTCTCAAGTAATCCACTATTTCAAAATAAGGTCTACACCATTATATTATGTACCCATTAAATTAACAATTTAAAATCTATATTAACTAATTTACACTTACCCTATAACTGGTGGACCTATTATTATAATCATCGGATCAATTGTTTGCTAATAAATAAAGCGTCCAAAATTCTCTTTTTGCCCGCTGCACAATGCACGCCTGCACCTTTGCCTTTCGCACGTGTGACAAAGCGTAGTGTCTGAGACATCTAAAGTGATCACAACCGCTATAGCGCTACCGCTTTGCTACATATCAAATCATATATGGAGATAATTAATTTTGTTAATAACATGAAAAGAAAATTAAATGTGTGATGCAGCGAGAGAATAATTAAGTACTATGGGTTGTGTTTTTCTCAACACTAATTAGCTCTGTTTAAGTTGAAACCGAGAGTTGATTACGTAATAATTATAATTATAATGTATTTGTGTTATGTCGTATTTGGATTTGGTACTATTTGTTCGTACAGGTGAAAGAAATTATTATGTTATAAATGTGAGCACAATATTGATGGATATCAATAGAACTCTTACTACGACAAGGGTGATAAAGGGAGTTCAAGGCCCTCTCTTTTTTCCCAATTCTATATTTGGATTTTTGTTTGCACGCTTTCCAAGTTTCTAAATGGTGTCTTCTTTAAACAACATTCTAATTTTTTTAGAAGTCAATTCATTCGTTTATACCCTCAAATAGCTATCACATAAATTATATAATTCATCAATTTCATCCTAAACCTTAAGTACTACATTTATTTTCATGCGAGTCATGGTGATCAGTAAATTGGTGATCAATGGATCATCAAAGTCATAAGATGAATATGTAAGAGTTACTCTGAACAATTGTAAATAAGTGTCAAAATTAATTTCTATTAATTAGACATCTAAAGGTGTCAAAATTAATTGCTAGCCACAAAATTAATTTCTCTCTACGTGTATATAAACATGGACGAAGCTGGAACAAATATTACCATATGTCCCATACATATATATTGCGCAGTTAATATTCTAATTACACGTGTTAAGTTATTTAAAATTCCTTAAAATGCTCTCAAGCTGCCACGTGGCGCTCTAATAAATTAGGGCAAATATTAGAAATTCTAAGGAAAAAAAATCAAAGTATCTATTACTTGATTTTCACTTAAATCGGTAGGTCCAATATTATAAACCGTTAGATTAAATTGATCTTAGAACAAACTAAATACTACAAGGTCCCACCTCGGCATAGGTACGCACCTACGTGCGCGGGTACGTACGCTTCCCCTCCCTTTTTTTCATTTTTCTCTTTCTTCTTTTTATCCCATGCATATACTTCCCTCCATTTATTACTATATCATGCGCCTTCATGAGACGATTTAATCAAAATAATTTTGAGTATCTTACACTCGCATTTTTCATTTGCAGCCATACTACACGTACGGTATGTATATAGATGGACGGTATGATAATTAACTAGCAATAGTTTCTTATTTAGTCGAGAAAAAAAACATGATTCAAAAGTCGTAACTACTTAATCCATCTCCTACTCAAAAGTTGTGAATGGTTTTTTAAGATACCTTAAGAAAAATAGAACCCTTAAACTATTACTCCCTCCGTCCCCTAATATAAAGGATTTTGACATTTTGCTTGCATTGTTTGACCATTCGTCTTATTAAAAAAATTGGAATTATTATTTATTTTATTGTGACTTACTTTATTATCCAAAGTACTTTAAGCACAACTTTTCATTTTTTATATTTGAACAATTTTTTTTGAATAACACGAGTGGTCAAACAGTGTAAGCAAAATATCAAAATCCCTTATATTAGGGCACGGAGGGAGTATAAAATAATATTATCCAAACTTTAGTTTGCTAAAGTTTACCCTGAATCTATGAGACAAAATTTCTAAATAAACAATAATCTTACCTTTCAATAAATATAATATAAGTGCCCGCGCGTACGCGGGCCATCTTTCTAGTTACATTCAAAAGAAAAAAAAAAGAAACATATCCATCAAATTGGCTTGTCTCTGATGATCTTGGAGAGCAACAACACGGGTCTCCCTGTTCCAGGTTGACCTCACATTTGTCTGCTGACCAATGAATGCGATGCAATGCAACGTCGCCATTCTCCTGCCTGCCAAAATGCTTAAAAACACTGGTTAATAATAGAGTCAATAACTAGGACGGGCAATTTCAAAGCAAAAATATAATGCATGTATGCACGGCGTTGACGACGACAGGCAAGGCAACCTAATCCACACGGCGTGACCTTCTCTTTTGTCTAGTGCCACGACCGACTAAGACGGCGATCGACGACTTTGCAATGCATAATCAATTCATGGAGTCCACTCAGCATGCAACTGCTCCTTGACACTACGATACCTTTTACATGTCTCTCTGTGTTTAGTACACATTGCTCACTTTAATAACTTTTGGAGTCATTTTAATTTCCTTTCTTTTATTTTCGCTACTACAAAATCGATATTTTCCCAAGATAGATTTTCTTAGAGCCAATCGATTTGTGTATGCGGATTTTCTTACGATCACCGACCGTCTATAGAAATCGAGGATGAGTGATAATTTAGCAGCCACTGCACCCTAACACTTCTTTATCGATCCATCGGTTTTCTCTCTGTTCCCCAATTCACTCTTCCTTTCCCTCAACCTCATCATCCTCTCCGTCCCTCCCCCTCTTTCTTTCCTAATTGTACGTATATCCGTTTGTTACCATCCACCCATCCAGCGCCATCAAAGTCCCTAAGAGCACCATCTAAGCATCTATCCCTCCCTCTCCTTCTCCTCATATATCTCTCACGCCCTCCACCCACGCCAACGAAATCCATGGATGTATCGCTTTGAGTTTATCCCTTAAATTAATGAATCACTTAATAATACATTTCTAGAAAATGTTTAAAAACTTAAAGGAGAACGTAAATCCTTAAATAAGAATCCATGATAGATGGGTGTATTTTTTTTTATAAATTTCCTCATGCTCCAAAGCATTTACTAGATTTTTACTTGAAATTTTATAGGGAAAAACTATTTTTAATCAATCAAATCAATTATTAGGATTAATTAAAATACAAATCCTATATTAATCCTCTTCCTCTTCCTAGGCCGTTAACCCAATCCATCTCCCTCTTCCCTTCCCACGTGCACGGCCGCCAACAGGCCAGCCTACCCGCCCCTCCCTCCCCTACTCCACTCTTTTGCCGGCCAAGTGAGGTTTGGATTGG